GAAGATATCCTGCAAGGCAGCAGTTGTTTAGGATCGGTTTTTTCCCTTCTTGATGGGCTACATTCTCAGCTTGAGAACTCCATCTTTCCCACACTTCCCTCTACAGCATGGGCAGTCAGCACCTTCTGACCGTCTTCTCTTGGTTTTCTGGGTGGTGCTGTGGTCTAAACCACTGAGCCTCTTGGGCTTGCTGATCAGAAGGTCGGCGGTTCGAATCCTCACGATGGGGTGAGCTCCCCTTGCTCTGTCTCAGCTCCTGCCAACCCAGCAGTTCCAAAGCACGCCAGTGCAAGTAGACAAATAGGTATCGCTGTGGCGGGAAGGTAAACAGCGTTTCCATGCGCTCTGGTTTCTGTCACGGTGTCCCGTTGTGCCAGAAGCGGTTTAGTCCTGCTGGCCACATGACCCAGAAAACTGTCTGTGGACAAACATTGGCTCCCTCAGCCAGAAAGCGAGTTGAGCACTGCAACCCCATAGTTGCCTTTGACTGGACTTAACCGCCCAGGGGTCCTTTACCTTACAGACTCTCCTTCAGCCGTTCCTCACAGAATTTGGTTTCCATGCAATCATCACAGTATGGTCAACGGGCTTCGATCCATGAACGAGAGGAGCAGTGTGTTGGAAAGCTGTTGGAAAAGTTGTTCCTGTGTCAAGTCTTCTTGCACGGTGTGAAGGTTACCAGGGGTGGGGGTGGGCAGCATGGGTGACAGGGAGAAGACCCTGTTTGAGTTTATCTTTGCATTGCATTTTATCCTGCCAGTGTGGTGTAGTGGTTAAGAGCGGTGGACTTGTAATCTGGGGAACCGGGTTCGCGTCTCCGCTCCTCCACATGCAGCTGCTGGGTGACCTTGGGCCAGTCACACTTCTCTGAAGTCTCTCAGCCCCACTCACCTCACAGAGTGTTTGTTGTGGGGGAGGAAGGGAAAGGAGATTGTTAGCCGCTTTGAGACTCCTGAAGGGGAGTGATAAAGCGGGATATCAAATCCAAACTCTTCTTCTCTTCTGCCAGAGAGGAACGCCAAACCAAGGTGATGGACTACGCCGAAATGGCAAAACTGACCGGGAAACTCAGGAACCAAGAGGGCAAAAACTTTAAAGAAAGAATGGGAGAAATTTATAATTTATTTCGGAGACCACTGTAAGCAGTTGAAAACGTTAGCAGGATTTTAATAACACTTGTAATGTAAACAATTATTATGGACAGATACGAAATATGGATCATGAAATAATATGCAGTTGAAAATGTTGACAAGAAGTCCCATGGAGGGGATGGTGGGAAGTATGGAGAATCAGAGAAATCTCTAAATGTGGATATTTGCTTGGTGTTGTTTTAACTCGTCGCTTGTAAAATCAAATAAAAATTATCATTATTTTTTAAAGCATTTGTGTGCATGTGGACAGACTTCTAAAACTGTGGCTTCAGCCATTCCCCCATCGGCACAGAGGCTGTTTGGAAACATACATATATATATATATATATATATATATATATATATATATATATAATATTTCATAGACATCAAGGCAGCTGGGAATGGTACTTTGACCTGGAGCCAGTCTGCTTGCAGTTGGGTCGATGCCAGAAAACTTGTTTCGAAAAAAGTACAACAAATCTAAAGTTAAAAAAACCAAACGGGAGGGGGGGGGGGAAGAAAAGGAGTTTCCAAACTTGATCACCCCACAAAGGTCCCAAATGCATTTCCCTATGGCAGGCACCCTCAAAACTCAGTCCTCCAGATGTTTTGGGACTACAACTCCCATCATCCCTAGCTAACAGGCCCAGTGGTCAGGGATGATGGGCGTTGTAGTCCCAAAACAGCTGGAGGGCCGAGTTTGGAGGTGCCTGCCCTAAGGCCATTGACAGATGGGAAGATTGTGGTGGCTGCGATATGGATATCCAGCATTGCAGTCCTATCTGGAAGAGCTTTCTCTCGAAGCCAAGCCCTACGTCATAGGTAGGCAAACTAAGGCCTGTGGGCCAGATCCGGCCCAATCGCCTTCTAAATCTGGCTCGCGGACAGTCCAGGAATCAGCGTGTTTTTACATGAGTAGAATGTGTCCTTTTATTTAAAATGCATCTCTGGGTTATTTGTGGGGCATAGGAATTTGTTCATCCCCCCAAAAAATAGTCCGGCCCCCCACAAGGTCTGAGGGACAGTCGACCGGCCCCCTGCTGGAAGAGTTTGCTGACCCCTGCCCTACGTGGATAGGATTGGGCTGCTACAACTATCTGCACTGGTCAGTTTGCAGATTGGCACTGAAGAGGCTAGTCAGTGGTGCCCTCTCCCTGGCTAGCTGGCATCCTCTTGTGCTTGCAGATGTTTCAGGTAGACCTGCTGTTTTATTTCCAACCAGGGCGTGTATCAAGTTTCCTGCCCAAATCCTGCAACTTCATACTGCAAATGTTCCCATGTGCGCACACTAGCGCTATAACTTTTTGACTTGTTTCCCTCCCGCAAAAAAACCCCCGATTTCCTGTATCATAAAGCGATGCACTTTTGCTTAGATGCACTGAAAAAGGGTCCAGTTCTTCTGAGTTGTGGAAAAAGGTCACCCCGAAATGAAAAATCGGAAGCACCGTATATGTAACGCTACTACTCGTAAGTATTAGCACTTTAAGAAAACTTTAGGGAACTGTTTAGAACTTTTGCAGCTGTCTGGAACTTCCTAATCTGTGTAGAATGTTCCAGAAGAATCCAAATATTGGTCTATATACAAAGAACACACAATTGAAGTGATGTGGGAACTTTATGGTGCTTGCAGCAGAAACTAAGACAAACTGCAACCTCAATTTATTCAAAGCCATAAGAAGTGATGTACATTGTACAAAACATTGTACAAGTGTTAGGAAAAAACTGCAAGCTCTGTTTATGCTATGCATATTACGTAATACGTTATACAGTTAAATACAGTATACAAAAATCAATTTATTGATTTCGGGGTGACCTTTTTTCAAAAGATTTGGAAATGACAGTTCATTTCTTTGTAATTAGGCAAAAGTTCATCTAACTAAGCTACAGGAACATGAGGTTGTAGAAAAGTTATAACCCTAGTAACGTAACGAAATTGACTTGCGAGGTGGTGTGTTGTTTGATAAGAGATTGAGTGGTTTTTTTTGGGGGGGAGGCTCGTTTAATTTCATTGTACACAGGTTGTACAATGACAATAGAGATATTATTATTATTATTATTATTATTAGCGCACCCCCCAAAAAAAAATATTGTTGTAATGGACTGCAAGTGCCCCTTCCAGACAGCGTCAATGTTTGGGCAAGCATTGCAGAACAGCTAATAAAGAACATGGTTATAAATTCACCAGTATTGCATTATTATTGCATCAATGACATGCAGTATTGCAGGATACGACTCGCCTTTCCAAAGGGACACGCATATGTGCCATGTATAGGGAAGACGCCCAAACTTTTGTTACCCATTGACAAGCAAGACCAGTTGATGACATACAGCATGTGACATATGGCAGAGATGGTGGCGCAGTATTGCTGTGAGTTTGGGGTGTTGACTGTGTGCCAGACCCTTCTGAGCCCTAGATCCGGCAAGTGTTAAAAGCTAATCAAGCCAAGACCACATAACACATAACTAATTCAGAATGCGACAGGTAGACTGGTAACTGAGAGCGGCCGGCGAGACCACATAACACCGGTCCTGAAAGACCTATATTGGCTTCAGGAAGTTTCTGGGCACAATTCAAAGTGTTGGTGCTGATCTTTAAAGCCCAAAACGGCCTCAAAGGCCCAGTAGACCTGAAGGAGAGTCCCCACTCCCATCGTTCTGCCCGGACACTGAGGTCCAGTGCTGAGGGCCTTCTGGCAGTTCCCTCGCTGCAAGAAGCCAAGTTACAGGGCACCAGGCAGAGGGCCTTCTCGTTGGTGGCACCCGCCCTGTGGAACGCCCTCCCACCAGATGTCAAAGAGAAGAACAACTACCTGACTTTTAGAAGACATCTGAAGGCAGCCCTCTTTAGGGAAGCTTTTAATGTTTGATGTATTACAGTATTGTAATATTTTGTTGGAGGCTGCAAAGAGTGGCTGGGGAAGCCCAGCCAGATGGGTGGGGTATAAATAAATAACAAATTATTATTATTATTACAGCAGTAAAGGTAAAGGTAAAGGGACCCCTGACCATTAGGTCCAGTCGTGGCCGACTCTGGGGTTGCGGTGCTAATCTTGCTTTATTGGCCGAGGGAGCCGGCGTACAGCTTCCGGGTCCTGTGGCCAGCATGACTAAGCTGCTTCTGGCGAACCAGAGCAGCGCACGGAAACGCCGTTTACCTTCCCGCCAGAGCGGTACCTATCTATGTACTTGCACTTTTGACGTGCTTTCGAACTGCTAGGTTGGCAGGAGCAGGGAGCGAGCAACGGGCTCACCCCGTCGCAGGGATTCGAACCGCCAACCTTCTGATCGGCAAGCCCTGGGCTCTGTGGTTTAACCCACAGTGCCACCCGTGTCCCATTACAGCGGTACCTCGGGTTAAGAACTTAATTCGTTCTGGAGGTCCGTTCTTAACCTGAAACTGTTCTTAACCCGAAGCACCACTTTAGCTAATGGGGCCTCCTGCTGCCGCTGCACCGCCACTGTGCAATTTCCGTTCTCCTTAAAAGTTCTTAACCAGAGGTAGTATTTCTGGGTTAGCGGAGTCTGTACCCTGAAGCATCTGTAACCTGAAGCCTCTGTAACCCGAGGTACCACTGTATTAGCATCCCACCGGAATGCTCCATCCTTCACCCTGTGCGGGGGGGGGGAGGTGAAAGGGGAAGAATTGATGGCAAGGGGGGAGCTGGAGAGAGGCTTCGCAACGCCTCTCCAGTCCCCCCCCCCCGCGTGGCCATTTCCAACAAGTGACGTCCCTTTGGCGCTGGTCCCCCCCCCCACTCCGTCACCCTCTCGCCCCCTTCCAGCCCCGTGAATGTCCCGGCCCGCCTCGGCCAGCGGCGCGGCGTCACAATCCTCCGTGGCCCCGCCCCCGGCCAGGTGCTATAAAAGGACGCGCCGCGCGCCCTCGTCCGTCTGCTGCTGCTGCCTTCGCCGCCGGGAGAAGGAGACGCAGCCGCTGCCGCCGCCTCCGCTGGCTTTTGCTGCGCGTCCCCCCGAGCGAAGCTGCGCTGTTCCCGGCTCGCGAGCAGGAGGAGCGCCGCTGCCACCCCGGCGAGGGATGGATCGGGGCCCGAGGCCGCTCAGGTTGCAACGCTGAAGCCATGAAGACCCTCATCGCTGCCTACTCCGGCGTCTTGCGAGGTACGGGTGGTACCCAAGGAAGGGGGAAAAGGATAGTTTGGGGGGGGGGTTGGAGGAGGATTTTTTTGGGGGGGGAAGAAGCATGGGCGTAGATCCACCAAAATTATTGAAATTAACTGAGGTTCTGCTCACCACCCCCCAGTAGAAGCCTGCAAGGCTGCCCCCCCCGTAATGTCTTTTTTTGGGGGGGTATTTTAACCCGTGATCCTCCCCCCAAAAATAAGCTCAACTTTTACTGCGTCCTTCCTTTTGGCAGATCAAGGTGATCAGGTGCCAGTGAAAACGGCAAGGTTTTTTTGGGGGGGCAATTGGAGCAAGATCTGTTATTTGCTAATTGATGTCAACCCCCCAAATGTATTTTCTACAGTTCGGTTTTTACCTCTATCTTCAGTACGTTTTATTTTATTGCTACGGCTCGTGGCTGATGCAAATAAAGATTCTTCTGATTCGACAACTTTAGAGAGTGATCTCCTAAAAAGAAAAATTTTTAGCTGCCCCCCAAATCCTGGCAACGCCCATGGGAAGAAGGGATATTCAATTTTATAGTCTATACTCTGCATGTAATCTCTGAATGTCAGGTAGGTTCTCTATCCCTCCACTCACTCACATCTCCTTCATAGAATCTCCATTATTGTAACCTGAAGCCATGGGTTCGAGTCCTACTCTCTGGAGCAGGAGAAAGCAAGCTTGCGCCATCTTCTGTGTGACAGCCCTGGAGATATTTGAAGATGGCTATCATATCATAAATGTCATTTCCAGTCCTCCCCCTTTCTGCCCCTCCCTACCTTGCAGTTTTAAGGGGGGGGGAGCAGCTGAAGTAAGTAACAATTCGCCAAGAGATAGCGTCCAGCAGGGTTGCCAACTTTTATAAAATTGGCGGGGACGTAAGCCCTGTCCCGCAAAATTGATCTCAGAAGAGACGACGCACATACGCCATATGAATGGCTATTTCAATCAACTGGGGGGCCCCCGAAATATTTTATTGTGGGGAGTCTGAAGGGCCTCGGTGCCTAGGAGTTGGCTCTTATGACATGCAGCAGGGCAGATTGCAAAGGTGGCAGCCCCTTGGTGCCGGGAAGAATGTTGTTGGGTTGAGGTGTGATTCCATGTGCAAAAGGGGAAGGGAGAACGGTTATCTGCAATCTTTTAGCCAGCTTCCTTATTCGTGTCTCAAGGAGGTGCGCCATAACAATGGCCAAAGGGGAGCTAAGTTTGAAACGTTGAAAGATCCACAAGAAAAAGCTGGCCATTCTTTTCGTAAGAAGCTAAAACTTCTTCAGAAACATGGAAAAGGCAGGTTGGAACGCAGGTGTCGTCGGTTGTTTGTGGAAAGTGCAGATAATGGGTGCCTCTCGTATCTGGACAGGAATGCTGTTCCACAGAGCAGGGGCGGCCCTGCTCTGTGTTACTGCGCAGATCTGAGATCTCTGGAACTTGCAGGAGAAATTGAAGGATCTTCTTTGGCGATCCCCCATAGCCGAGTAAGATTGTCTTCCATAAACACGGTTTTAACAGTGAGTCCGTAAGTGACTGTGGAGGCTAGTTCTGGATCCACACGTCCTTCCACAGTGGGGACATAGGTTTCCGGTCGGCAGTTGATCACGGTGAGGGTTTGCCAAGCGTGCCTTCCTCTTAGCGCGTTTCTCCCTTTTGTCCTGAGTTCAAGTGTCTTCAAAGCCCTGGACACCTTTTGTCAAGGCTGTTCTCCAACTGGAGCGCTCACAGCCAGTGTTTCCCAGTTATCGGCGTTCATACTGTATTTTTGAGAGAGTCTTTAAATCTCTTTTGTTGACCACTGGCATTACGCTTTCCATTTTTAAGTTCAGAATAGAGCAATTGCTTTGGCAGACGATCATCAGGCATCCGCACAACATGACCAGTCCAGCGAAGTTGATGTTGAAGAATCATCGCTTCGACACGGGTGATCTTTGCTTCTTCCAGTACACTGGCATTAGTTCGCCTGTCTTCCCATGTTATCTGTGACGGCCAACGCCTTGACCCAGCAGCAGATGGGTAGCCAATGCAAACGCCTCAAGCAAGGTGTTTGCATGTTGGCCATGGTTTGCCCCACCATGAGCAGACTAGCCATTTTGTTCTGCACCAGTTGCCGCCTCCAGACCAACCCCCAAGGGCAGCCCCACAAAGAGCACATTGTAGTAATCCAGCCGTTCGGGTACTGATGCCCAGATAGCTGTGGTCAAGGTATCCCGATCCAGGAATGTCTGTAGCTGTCTTAAAAGGCATCTTTAGCTGCTGTGGGCCTCTTTGCCAGCTGCAAGCAATGCAGCCTGATCCATTTTATCAACACCCCCCTTCTCTAGCCTCTTCCAAGTTGCTTCTGGTTGTTTTCCTACCTTCCTATTCTAGAATAGCTGAACCCCTTTTTGATGGACTTTTTGGCTCTATGGTTGCCATATGGTACAATGCACCATTCTTCCTATGTTCCCTAGAACTCACATTGATAGCTCTTTAACACTCTGTTGGCCCTTAAGGTTTATTTACCCCCAGGTATTTTACCTGTGGGGACGCGGGTAGCGCTGTGGGTTAAACCACAGAGCCTCTTGAGCTTGCCGATCGGAAGGTCGGCGGTTTGAATCCCCGCGATGGGGTGAGCTCCCGTTGCTCAGTCCCTGCTCCTGCCCACCTAGCAGTTTGAAAGCACGAAGTACAAGTAGATAAATAGGTACCACTCCGGCGGGAAGGTAAACGGCGTTTCCGTGTGCTGCTCTGGTTCTCCAGAAGCTGTTTAGTCATGCTGGCCACATGACCCGGAAGCTGTACGCCGGCTCCCTCGGCCAATAAAGCGAGATGAGAGCCGCAACCCCAGAGTCAGCCATGACTGGACCTAATGGTCAGGGGTCCCTTTACCTTTACCTATTTTACCTGTGAGGTCCAACAAGGGGTTGGTGTGGAGTTTTCCTCTGTTGTTATTGCAGCTGCTTAAAGACGAAACAAAAAGCAGAAAGTTAACCGTTCATGGAGGGGTCTGTACGAGTGGAATGGAGCTTCCGTCTGCTGGTGCAGTCTACCTTGGAAAACTGGGTGTTGGTGGGCAAACATAGGAGAGCTGTTTCCTTTGTGCCCTTCTTGGCTGTCAGGCTTCTCGGAGGAGTCAGGTTTGCCTCTATGGAAGAAAAGCAGACTTGAACTTATGGCCTGATCCTGTAAGGTGAAGCCTGAATGGGCCAGTGAGACTGTAAGCATTTGAAACGCTAAACCCGTAAATGCAACGATGTCCACAGATGCAGTGACCACAAGGAGATCTAGAGATGTGCAAGTATTGGGTGTAAAGTAAGCATGCTCTCAAGCTTATTTTCTCTTGCTCTGGAGGTCAGCACCCGAACCGATGGATTCAAGTTACAGAAAAGGAGACTAAACATAGAATCATAGAATTGTAGAGTTGGAAGGGACTCTGAGGATCATCTAGTCCAGCCCCCTGGAAGGCAAGAAAATGCAGCTGTCCCATACAGGGCTCGAACCAGCAACCTTGGCGCTAACAGTACCATGCTTTAACCAGCTGAGCTAAGCAGCCTGATATCAAGAAGAACTTTCTGATCTTAAGAGTTGTTTGACAGTGGAACAGACTCCCTAAGGAGATGCTGGAATCTCCTACATTGGAGGTGTTTAAGCTGATATTATTTTAATTATTATTATTATTATTATTATTATTATTATTGCTTTTCAGATTTACACATTTCACTATTTTTGCAATCATTTTAACACTTCAAAACTTGACTTCCTTCCCCCTCTTTCTGCGGTTCCTTAAATTTATTTCGGATATCTTCTGCGTATCCAAATTAACTTACGTTGCTCTTTTATTCATCTCTCTTAAGCATATACCCTTATGAAACTGCAGGTTATTGCAATAATCCTGCCAATGTTCTTATCTGTTTGCAATTTATCTGTAAATAGTCAATAAACCATTTCCATTCTTTTGTAAAAAGTTTGTTACCTTGATTTCTTATTCTTCCAGAGAGTTTTGCCATTTCTGCACACGTTTTTGTGTTTAAGCTGAGTTTTGATGGTCACGGATACTTTAGTTGAGATTCCTGCATTGCAGGGGGTGGAATAGAGGACCTCTGGGTTCCCTTCCAACTTTAAGATTCTATGGCTCTGTGCTATGTTAGGGCAGCAGGGCAGCTTCTGCTTGCAGCCAGGGCTCCATGTGGACTTTGCATGTGGCTGGAAGCACCTTCCGTGTATCGGAGCAATAGCCTGAATTCTTTGTAGCGCTCATCAAAGGGCTTTGCACATTGGCAATCTTTACTTATTTACTTGGCTTTTGTGCTGTTGGCTTTCTGCTAAGGGGCTCAAGGCCATTCGCCGCCTCGCCATTGAATAGGCAGGACCCCAAAGGGACAGAGAGCAAACAGGGAAAATTATGCAAACAATTCCAGCGTTCTTTGGCCCTTTTGCGGGAAAGGCTGTGTTGCAGGTGCTCCCTGCCGATAAGTAAATTCTCTGGGATGCAACCTGGCCTGCTGTGGCCCTTCTTCTTCGTGGTGGCTCCTTGTCTGGTGGGCTTCCTCCAGAGAATTGTAGAATCATAGAATCATAGAGTTGGAATAGACCACAAGGGCCATCGAGTCCAACCCCCTGCCAAGCAGGAAACACCATCAGAGCAATCCTGACATATGGTTGTCAAGCCTCTGCTTAAAGACCTCCAAAGAAGGAGACTCCACCACACTCCTTGGCAGCAAATTCCACTGTCGAACAGCTCTTACTGTCAGGAAGTTCTTCCTAATGTTTAGGTGGAATCTTCTTTCTTGTAGTTTGGATCCATTGCTCCATGTCCGCTTCTCTGGAGCAGCAGAAAACAACCTTTCTCCCTCCTCTATGTGACATCCTTTTATATATTTGAACATGGCTATCATATCACCCCTTAACCTCCTCTTCTCCAGGCTAAACATGCCCAGCTCCCTTAGCCGTTCCTCATAAGGCATTGTTTCCAGGCCTTTGACCATTTTGGTTGCCCTCCTCTGGACACGTTCCAGTTTGTC